TTAAGATATTTACATCAAATTTTCTTTTTAGGTAACTTATGATGCTTGAAATTTCTTCGAGAGTTCCAATAATATTTAAGTTATCAACATATAAAACAAACCTCTTTTCAAATAAAAATATATGAACAAATAGGGTTATTTTTTATAACTTTCTTTCAATAAATAATCATTGAAGTGATTATATCACATGCACATGGGTTAGTAATAAACGAGTAGATATAAAAATGAAATATAAAAAGTATAAATTAAATTTCTAAAAACCAAATAATAAAACAAATACTAAAATAATCCTAATAGAGATCTCCATCATTTAATTGAATTCTTTTCTCGAGAATATGTATTACATGCTTCGGCATGTTAAGTCCTTCTAGAACTTTTATACCGATATCATTTCAAATGAATAAATAAACTGTGATCACATTCATTAAATGCATACATTTGAATGTTTTTCATATATTTTTCCAAGCTAATGAGATAACAAAAGACAATTGTATCCACTATAGGAGAATATGTCTCCTCATAGTCAATGTCAATTCTTTACGAAAACTTTTATGTTAAAAGTTTTGCTTTATATCTTATAATCTCATCTTTCTTATTTCATTTTCTCATAAATACATATTTGTATCCCACTAGCTTAACATCTTCGGGTGTTTTAGCTATGGGTTCAAAATACTCTTTTATAAGAGAACATAATTTCGCCTAAATTGCTCTTTTCATTTAGGCCAATCATCTTTATGTCGATATTCTTCAATAATTTAGGCTTAGGATCCTTATTTTCATCCATAATATCAATTGCAATATTATATGCAAAAGTCTTATCAATAGATATTTCTTTTCGATCCTATTTTCTCCATGCATTGATATAATTTATCAAACTCTCTTGATTTTTCTCAAGTATTTGGACTTCTTCGGAAGCTTATTATCATAAATATATTGAAACATTTTATGAATATTTTTATCTTGCCTTTTTCTTATAGGGATTTTTATCTTTAGAACCGATCGGTCTTCCACGCTTCGACGTGTTTTAGATTCATTGGTTATAACATTAATAGATCGTCCTTCTAGGGCATCAATTCTAATAGGAGCATTTTTAGCGAGGACATACATTTTAGTTACTCATTTAAGATTTGAGAATGCATCTGGCAGTTGGTTTCAATACCCGGTAAATGAATTATCTTTTGAACTTCTAGTTCACATTATCTTCGACAAGAATCAAGGTGATATAAGATAGAGTACTCCATGTAATCTTTTTTTCAACATTTATAATCGCTTATTTTGCTTATTCTCTCCCCTAATGTTGAAAAAACTATTTCATCAAAATGACGATCGATAAATCGAGCTGTAAAAATTTCCTCTTGTTCATGAATCAAGAGATTGAATTATCAAAGAGGATTCATATATTCTCAATCTCTTTTAAGTGTTCATTTTATTTCATTATAGATGAGCACTAAGGATATACACTGCAATGCTAAAAATTCTTAAACAAGAAATAATTGGCTCATGACCATAAATCAATTAAAGAGGAGAGAATTTCGATAACTCATGGGTCATATGCGAATAAGTGTTGCTTGCATGTAAGATTGCATGTCCTCAAACATAAACAGAGAGTTTTATTTTTAAATAATGGTTTAGCTATCAATTCGAGCTTTTTGATAAATGATTTTGCTAAACCTTTTTGAGTATGAACATGAGCAACAACATGTTCAACCTTTATTTTAATAGCTAATCAATAATAATTTAATGCTTGAGAAATAAATTCATCGGCATTATCAAGGTGACTTGTTTTAATGTCATAATTTAAAAATTATACTCGAAATCAAATTATTTGCTAGCAATCTCGAAAACGTCGAGTTTCGAGTAAATAATAAGCATATATATGACCATCTTGTGGATGCATTTATCAAAATCATAAAATATTTAAATGATCCACATGGTGAATGAATTAATCCACATATATCACCTTGAATACATTCTAAAATACTAGAGATTCAATCTCAATTTTACTTGATGATGACTTAATCATCAATTTACCTTGGCAACATGCGAAACAAGAAAGTTCATTAAATTGAAGAATCTTCGGCTCTTCAATAGATATTCATATAATTTTTTTAATAATTTTTTCGCATCATGAAAGACCCAAGATAACACAACTGGTCATGTCACATAGTAAAAGTATTTGAATTAGTAAACTTCGGTTTACTATAATATTGGTTTCAATCATTTCAATATTTGTAACAAAGACTAGAAGAGAAAACGAATAAATTTTTTGATAGATATTTTCTACCCGATATAATAACTATAACATATATGAATTTGCATTTGCTATCTTGATATGATATCAATTTAGATGAATATCTTTGAAACTCAACAAATTTCTATGAGACTTTGAAGAGAATAGTACATCATTCATAATAAATTTATCCTTTCGGATAATAACATATTTGCTCTTCTAGAGCCTTTAAATTAGTCACTTCAAGTAATAATATATCGACTCTTCTAGAGTCTTTAAACATTTTCCCTTCAAGTAATAATTTATTCACTCTTCTAGAGTTTCAAAAATTTATATCTTCAAGTCATGATATAATCGCTCTTCTAGAGCCTTCAAAATCTATCTCTTTAGATAATAATGTAGTCGCTCTTCTAGAGCTTTCTATTAGATTGATATTATCATATATAATATTAACATAAAATAAATAATCAAATAAATCAATAGAAAATAAATAAATCAATATATTCCTCATAAACACAAACAAATAAATAAATAGTAAAATAAATTTGTAACCATCAATATACAATATAAATTATAAGAAATATAAAACATTTTATTTATAAATAAAAAAACTAATAAATAATTAATTTTAATTACTATTACTTTGATATATAAAATTAGCCTCTATATATATTTTTTTCCAACAAGGTTTGACAAGGCTTGATGAGGTGCTTTGGTGTACGGTTGGTACACGGATAATGCCCATTCATATCATATTTATAACATGTCCTCGTTGAGAATGCCGACTTTATCTATTTTTATTCTTTTCTTTTTTCATAGTTATCCACTTCGGTGGTGAGATGTAATATTATGGTCATTACGATTACAATGATAATTATTTTGACCACATTCATGGCTCGACCACATCTTCATCCATGTCTAAAATTATTATAAATTGTCACATTCACTTCGGGGAATGGAATAGATCCGATTGGATGAGATTTATTCTTTTTCATCAATAGCTTTTCATTTTATTTAGCCATGAGCAAATATGAAATCGATTCATAATATTTCTTAAACTCTTTTTCTTGATATGCTACTCGTAGCAGCATATTCGAAACATGAAAAGTAGATGATCTTGATATGCTACTCGTAGGAGCATATTCGAGACATGAAAAGTAGATGATATTAACTTAGCATCAAGCACTCATGATAAATAATTCTTGCTCGAAATGTCAAGGGCCACAAAATCAAGCTTTGTGAGGTTTGACATGATAAAAATTCTATAATACAAGATATAATAATGATGTTAGGAAATAAAAACAAACATAATAATAATATTCAAACTTCTTAAAACAACATGCATTAGATTATTAGAATATATATTAGATTATTCAAGTTTTCAAATATATATTATATGTACTATTAGATTTAAAATAAAAGATAGATTAGGTACATATCTCTTAATAGGCTAAATGATTTGCATCGTTTAGTAGAACAATCGTGCCGATAACGTGTTGTGAAAAATAAAAGATATATGAGAATTTAACGGAAGGATGGCAAGAAGAAGAATTCACTATAAAGTGAATACAAGTGAGAAAACTTCAAGTTATTCTCTTAATCTCTCTAAGAAACTTGTACATCAACAAATGAACAATCAAGCCTATTTATAGAGCTCAAAATTGAGATGAGAATTGGAAGGGACTATGAATAATTAAAAGTACATCAATTGCATCACCCTTTCAATTTCTCATATTGAATGGTGAATTGAATCACATTAAGGATTATGAGTAGTGGGGATATGAAAAGTAGATAGACATTCATATGGACATTCATTATTTTATAACACGGATAATTTTTTTTCAAAATATTTTAAAGGATTGAAATATATATATATATATATATATATATATATATATATATGATAATAAGCAAATTTGAGTATAAAATAAAATATTTATAATATGTATTTTTTGAAATATGAAGAGAGATTTATTTAAAATTTTAAACTTTTGGATTATATTAATAATTTTATAATACCTCAAAATATTCTATTATAATTTACTTACTTTAATTTTATAAATTTTTTAATTTGACTCAAAAGGAAAAATATAAATTTTGTTACAATTTTGAATTTCTTTTTTCCATTAAAAGGAAGCTCTAGTGAAAACCGCACAAAAACTTATATTCCTACTTTTGAGTGAAATTAACAAAATATATAAGAAATTTTCATATAAAAATATTTTTATCTTCATTTTTTTTTTATAGATATAATGATCTGGATATACCTAGATTTTTTATTTTTTATTTTTTGACATTTCATTCAAAAAAGAATAAAATGATGAAATTAATATTTAAAAAAATTAACACGTGTTGCAATCTTGTAAGATTAATGATATAATTTAATATTATTAATCTAAAAACTTAACCAAAAAAACTAGATTAAAACAAAAACTAAACTAAACATAGAGACATAAACTTAAGACAAAATAATAATAATAATAATAGAAAATTGAAAGATTCTTACATTCATTAAAAAAAAAAAAAAAGTCATTGACGGTATACATATATTGAAAAGAACTTGTACGAATTTACCAATTAAGCAGCAAAATTATATTGCCAACTCCTAGAAGTCACAAAGCAACTTCTACTCCAAATAGCCATATATGTCAGATTTTTTAAAATTTTGAGTGTCACAGACACTTTCATGAATGATAAAAAGAAGACATTGCTGAATGTGTGGTAATCTTTCTACTTGTTAAACTTGCAAACTTCCTTGCAGAAAAAGGGCATGATCAATGCAGCAGTAAAGAATGAAGCTGTATACATTAGCGATGAATTAGAGTTCACGACGGCCTTTGCAGACTCGTTAGAAGATAGTGATCCGGTAATTAAATTGTTGATCAAGAAAGTAAGAGAGGTTTCTTATGACACTAAGGATGCTCTTGATGATTTCATGCTACTCCTCGCTCAAGATGATAGCCATGGATTCTTCTCGTCTTAAGAAATTTTCCTGCTCTATTAAGAATGGAAGAGCTAGGCATCGGATTGCATCAAATATTGAAGCAATCAAATCCAGAGACATTAGTATCTCAGAGGATGCATCAGAGGTACGGTAACAAAAGTAATAAATGGCGAAAGGCTCAAGCTCCTGCTGCATCACAAGGCTGGAATGTCAGGGGGTGCCCTTCTACTCGAAGAAAATGATCTAGTGGGTATTGAAAAGCCCAAAAACGAGGTGATCGAGAAGTTTCTTGCGAGCAAATCTGCACACGAAGTAGTTTCAGTGGTCGGAGAGTGTAAAAATATCAAATCATGGGCAAGAAAAGAAGAAAATTAATATCTCAGAGAAAGAAACGAAAAACAGAGTATGAAGAAAGAAAAACAGAGTTACGTTTTTCTTTGACATTCTGGTGTGTGTGTGTATATATATATATACAATACATTGTTTGGTCAATACCAAACCAACTAACACACTTTGTTTTTTTCAAAAATAAATTCAACAAAAAAAGGATCTTCACTCCTTTAACTAAAGCTTCTACTAACTGAAGATTACAAAAGATTTCTTAAAGTATCTAGAAAATTCTCAAATTCTAGTAGAAAGGGAGGGTTGGGAAAATCGACATTGGTGAAAGAAGTCTAATCATCCAAATGTGAAGAAACACTTCAAGTTCCGCGCTTGGATCACTGTTTCTCAATGTTTCAAGACAGCGACCTCCTAAAAGACATGATTCAGATATGTTTCTGTGTGATCGGGAAACCAGCTCCTCAGAACATGGTCAACAAGGACTAAGATAAGCTTAAGGACAGCAATCAACAAGTTCCTTCAGCAAAGAAAGTACCTGATTGTCTTGGATGATGTCTGGCATATTAATGCCTGTGTTATCTTCCAACATGCATCACCAAACAACAATTCTGGGAGCCGAATATTGCTAACAACACGGAATAATGGAGTTGCTAGTAGCCTAGTACATCATGCATGGAATTCCTTAGCAATGTCTACACCATGAATCCATTATCTCCAGATTCCAGAAGAGTCATGGATTCTACTTTGCCAGTAAACATTTCAAAGCAACTCTTGTCCTCCACATTTGAAGAACTTCTCAGAAAGATCCTGGCTAAATGAGAGGGATTGCCAACTGCAATTGCAGCAATCAGTGGTGTTTTAGCTACAAAGGAGAAGAGCCGAATTGATGAATGGAAAATGGTTCACCGTAGCCTCGGTGTTGGATTAGAAGACAATGACAGACTGAAGAATGCGGGAAAAATACTGTCGCTCAGTTACAATGATTTACCTTACTATCTCAAGTCTTGCTGTACTGCAGCATCTTTCCTGAAGGTAATCCCATTGACCTTATGAGACTTATTGGATTGTGGATAGCGGAAGGATTTCTGAAAGAAAAGGAAGGATTGACATTAGAAGAAGTTGCAGAAGACTACTTGAATGAACTCATTAAGCAAGTCTTATGTTTATCCATACACAATGGTGTGCTAGAGGTACGACAAAGACAATAGTGTTTCTTGCCTTCGTTCACTGTTCATGTTTTTGGTTGCAGATTCTGTATCCAGGTCCCTTTCTTTTATCTTGTCTTCTGGTCATTTAAGTATGCTTAATATTTTAGATTTGGAAGGCGCATCTTTAAGGGAATTTCCACAAGTGGTCACCCTTGTCCTTTCAAAGTATCCAAGTTTGAGGAATCCCAAGGTCAATTCCATTCCAAGCTTTATTAACAAACTTCAGAATCTTGAAACCTTGGATCGGAAACATGCCCATGTAACTGCATTGCCTGTAGAGATTATGATGCTTCAAAAACTACGGCACCTTCTAGTTTATCATTATGAAATCGAATCTGGCGATCAGACTCGCACCAAATATGGTTTCAAGGTACCTGCACGAAATCGGATGATTACAGTCCTTACAAAAGTTTTGCTTCTTAGAGGCAAATCAGAGAAATATTTCTTATGAGAGTATTGGGAAGATTGAATCAGCTCAGAAGATTAGGCATAGTAAAGTTCAGGAAAAGAGGTGGAAAATGTGACGCCCCCGGCTCCCTTACCTATTACCTAACAAGCGTGACCGGCGCGACACACCGTTGGGACCAAGTCTCCTACTTCCTCCATCATACACAACGAAACTAAACCATGGGAAACGTATGATATAATATACAACATTATTACGGATAGTTCTATAATTTATAGCATATTCAAAATGCCTAAAAATTTACGTCCTAGGCCCGTACCCTTTTTTAATAACACAAAAGATATTTCTATTTTTATGAGTGACACATGAGCCTCTTTTAGCGAGAACCGATAGCATCCTCGATCGAGCTTAACTTTGCCCTTGCCCGAACAACACACAAATACAATAACGGAATGAGCCAAAGCTCGGTAAGTAAGGTGATGCACGTGATATGCAATACAATTGTGTTTCCCATATTTTCATTTATTTTAATCCAAGTACCCTAGGTATATGCAAGTCCGTGCGCCCAATCTCTCGGTGATCGTGTTATCACCTACTCGCTCTATTACTTTCTCTCGGTGATCTCAATATCACCTATCGCTCGCAATGAAATTATCCCTCGTTGTAGCACACGGTTAGCGAAATTATCCCTCGTTTAACGGTGTTAGTAAATAGAGCTCGCACTATGGATTCCTTGCTATTACTCAATCCACTCAATTCGGTTACCAAACCGTGTCAATTCAAGACTCAATGATTTTTCTCAATTTATTTCCACCCCCAATCCACATGATGCACGTGATGACATGTTTAATCACATTCAACCAAACTCGGGTACCAGCCACTTCTTTCTCAAGCCATACTCACGGTCCAACCATCACTCGGAATTCACTCGGCGCTCATATACCCATCATGGTACTCATAGCGGGAACACAACCTCCGCTCATTAATATTGTCTATTAGTTTCATTAATAATTAAAGAAGGTCCAATTCTTCTTCTTTTTTTTTTTTTTTTTGTAATTCCTCTCTTTGAAAGAATAAATTTTCTTTAAAATTTTAAAATCCTCTTTATTTCTATCTAAGTCCACTTATTTTAGCCTAAGCCCATTTTCGTTAGTCTAAGCCCATCTACATTAAAATCAAGTCTTTTGATTTTAGTCCAAGTCCATAACCAAGTTTATTTTATTTAAGTCCAAGCCCATTAACATTAATCCAAGCCCAAGTCCATTTGTTTTAATCTAAGTCCACTTTATTTTTAAATCCAAGCCCATCTCATTTTAACTCAAGTTCAAGCCCATTAACATTAATCCAAGCCCAAGTCCATTTGTTTTAATCTAAGTCCACTTTATTTTTATATCCAAGCTCATCTCATTTTAATTCAAGTCCAAGCCCATTTATTTTAATCCAAGCCCAAGTCTATTTATTTTAATCTAAGCCCACTTTATTTGTAATTCCAAGCTCATCTCATTTTAACTCAAGTCCAAGCCCATTATCATTAATCTAAGCCTATTTATTTTAGGTAAAAAAATTTTTCAGCAGTGGCACACCTAAACAACCTAGACCAAACCAGCCATAACTCCTTAAATATTTATCTAAAACTCACGAAATTTTAAGGAGATATATTAGACATGTAGATCAACAACTTTCATTCTTTAAGTTTCCTCCAACAATCAATCTAAAATCCTTAAATAAATCACACAAGTTTCGAAACTAAATAATCTTTCCTAGTAGCTGGTCCATTCAACGATCCGTACCAAATCAGTCATAAATCCTTACATACAGATCTAAAAATCATGAAATTTTATATGCATCTAGTAGATACATATATAAACAACTTTCCTTCTTTGATTTTGGCTCAAAAACCACTTTATGATCTCGAAATAAATCACACAACTTTCGGAATGAAATATTTTTCCAGTAGATGATCCATTCGAATGATCCATACTAATTCAGTCATAACTCCATATATATATCTCTAAAGTCACGAAATTTTAAAGAGACATAGTAGACACATATATCAACAACTTTCATTCTTTGCATATTTCCTAAAAATCAATCTAAGATCCCGAAATAAATCACACTAAGTTCGGGTTTTTCCACCCCTAAAATCCAAAAATCTTCTCTTAAAGCACATTTCTCATCACACATGCTTAACCATCCATCATCAAACGTCAAGTGTTTAAAATCACCACAAATACCATAATCACATTTCACATGAATTAAACAACTCATAAAATAAACATGGAAAGCATAAACAAAGCAAGAAAAAAAAATGAAACCTACTTACATTGGATTAACTTTCCTAAAATCTCTTTTGGTTCCTTTTAGTTTCCCTTTCTTTTTCCTTTCTTTTCCCCTTCTCTTCCTTCCCTTTTTTCTCTTTCTCCCCTCTCTTTCACTCTTTCTTTCTTGGCTTTAAGGAAGCTACGGGATGCACCAAAAATGCATCTTTATCCCATTTTTTTACTTAAATATCTCACCTAATCTCATCCATTTAATGTTCATTACAAGTGTCAAGAGCTTGTGGTGAAATGCAAGGTAAATGTGGCTGAAATTAATGAAATGATGGGTTTAAATTTCAAGGAGGAAGAGGTGATGGTCAATGGAAATTTGTAGAAAGTAGGGGCCAAAATATGATTAAATGAGGGAAATTAAATTAACTACATTTTCATAATTCATCCCAAAATTTTGGCAATTAGCACTTTTTTTTTCTAATTTATACTTATTCCATATAAAAGAAATTTTCTAACAAATTTACCCAACGTTTTTTTTTATATATAAATATTGACGTACACCCGTTACTCTCAACAAATACGTATATACCATATATTCCAGTACATATGTTAACACTAGTTACAGATTTTCACGTACGTAACCGATATACTATATATATATATATATATATATATACGTACAAATATAAATATCTCGATACATACACTTATACGATTACGGATTTTTACGAGGGTTACATTTCTCCCCTACTTAGAAGAAATTTCGTCCTCGAAATTGATCTATTCGAATAATATCGGGTATTTTTGTCTCATCTCTTCCTCCAGCTCCCACGTCATTTCTTCACGATCGTGATTCTCCCACATAACTTTAACTAACCTAATCTCCTTATTCTTCAACTGTTTGACTTGACTATCTAAAATGCGGACTGATTTCTCTTCATATGTCAAGTCGGGGGTAAGGTTCGGTATAATTGTCTCCAAGATTTGGCTAGGTTCTCCAACGCACTTCCTTAGCATAGAAACATGAAACACATTATGCACACCCGCTAAGGATGATGGTAGCAACGGGCGATATGCTTTATCGCCTACTCGATCCGAGTATATGAAATGGCCTAATGTATCGGGGACTCGGCTTCCCTTTCTTTCCGAATCGTAGCACACCTTTCATTCGTGAAGCCCTTAGGAACACATAGTCACCGATTTCAAATTCTAGATCTCTTCGTCTCTTGTCGGCGTAGCTTTTCCGTCTGCTTTGAGCTATTTTTAGTCGTTGACGAATTTTATCCACTTGCTTCGATCGTTTGTCGTACCAACTCTGGTCCCAATAACTTTCTTTCTCCAACCTCATCCCAATACAGAGGAGATCTACATCGACGTCCATACAAAGCTTCATACGGAGCCATTCCAATTGAAGATTGGTAGCTATTATTATATGCAAATTTAGCTAAGCGTACATATTTCTCTCATTTTTCGGACCAATCCGAACGCATGCTCGCAACATGTCTTCTAAAATTTGAATTACTCGCTCCGATTGTCTATTAGTTTGAGGATGATAAGTCATGCTTGAAGTTTAGCTTCGTGCCTATGGCTTTATGCGGACTCTTCCAAAATACGAGAGGTGAACCTTGGATCTCGATCGGATACAATTGAGATCGGAATCCCATGTAGTCTTACGATCTCATCAATGTACAATTGGGCATACTTGGTTCAAATTGTAGGTGGTCTTGACTGGAAGAAAATGGGCTGATTTGGTTAACTCCGTCCACAATCACCCAAATAGCATTCGACCCCTTCTCCGACCTTGGCAATCCCATAACAAAATCTATAGTTACATGCTCCTATTTCCATTCCGGGATTACCAATGGTTTTAACGTTCCCGAGGGTCTTTGGTGCTCCGCTTTCATTTGTTGACAAGTCCGACATCTTGCTAGATGACTTGCCACGTCTTTCTTCATTCCAGGCCACCAATAACATTTTCGTAAATCCCGATACATTTTTATGCTTCCCGGGTGTATCGAGTATGGAGTTGCATGTGCTTCCCTTAGTATCTCTTCCTTCAAGTCCTCCACCGAGGGAACACACAACCTTCCCTTAAATTTAATTACGCCTTTATCATCCACCTCAAAAATAGACTCCTTTCCAGCCTCTATACTCTGTTTTATTTCGGTCGACTTTGCATCCGTCCGTTGCTCCATCTTGATTCTCTCATGCAGAGTCGGTTGGACCATCAAAGTCGATAAAATATTCTTATGGCCCACGGGAATCACCTCCAATTCCAACTTTCGAAAGTCCCTTGCTATCGGCTATTGAATTAATCTGCATCATTGCTATCAATTTTCTACTTAAAGCATCGACAACGACGTTGGCTTTTCCCGGGTGATAGTTGATTATACGGTCATAGTCCTTTACTAGTTCTAACCACCTTCTTTGCCTCATGTTCAGCTCTTTTTATGTGAAGATATATCGTAGGCTTTTGTGATCCGGATATATCTTACACTTTTCCCTGTATAGGTAGTGTCTCCAAATTTTTAGGGCAAAAACTACCGCCGCTAACTCCAAATCGGGTGTCGGATAATTCCGTTCATATTCCTTCGGTTGTCACGACACATATGCTACCACTCTTCCGTTCGCATCAACACCGCTCCTAGCCCATTTTTAGAAGCGTCGTTATACACTACGAAGTTTCCACCTTCGGACGGAATGGTTAGCACCGAGGCGGTGACTAACCTTTGCTTTAATTCTTTAAAACTCTTTTCACAAACATCCGTCCACTAA